CCCCGGCCAGGCTCGCCGCCCTCCCCGCAGTGCTCCGGCCAGCCGGGGAGAGCGGGGCCGCGGCCGGCCTTGGCACCCTCCCCTGCCACGCTCCCCACTGGAGGGCGGCGGGAGGCTTTTTTGCCTGGGGCGGCAAAAAAGCCAGAGCCGGCCCTGCAGGGCAAGACTAAGGCTCGTGTTTTAACGGGGAGGGGAGGTCACCTTCGGGACCGACTGCCCCGGGACGCGGCAGCGTCTCCATCATGTGGAGTCGAACAGACGGACTGTCCTCTCTCAAGCTCTGCGCTAGCTCCATCCCCAGCTACGGGCTGGATGCAGGAATCCCTGGGTCATTCTCTGGCCCGTGCAGTGCGAGAGGCCGGATCAGCCTGCTCCCTTCCTGGCCTTAGAATCTCTGCATTAATGGCTCGGCCTTCGCTCCCCGGGAACTGTGATGCCATCACCTCCCCAGCTCCCTCGTCCTCCATGGAGTCTCACTGGGGGAGATCGACCGAAGCTGAATTTCAAAGCTGCGCCCCCTTTCTACCTCCCCTCCTAGGAAAGCACAATGGCGTTCCACAGCCCGCTGTGCTTCCCCTTTCACATCACCTCGGGCACTCGGCCACGGGTCCTTTATCATCTGGTTCTTCGCACCCGCGTGTGGTTAAAGAGTCAGAGCATCAGGCTATAAATAAACACCAGCAGGAGGGGGCGGATCTGGGGCGATACCTGAGTGAAAAGCAGATCGACAGCAGCCTGTGTTGTCTTTTCGCCCCATCCCGCCCTCGGTGCTTCCCCTTTCCAAGTGGGTTTGTCCATTGCATGGATGCAAGGTAATGACCTTGGGTAAGTCATTACCCCTTGTGGTGCCTCAGTTTCCCCATCTGTAAAGTGTAGAGAATGCTCCTCCCTTTGCCTATTGCCGTGAGCCTTTTGGGTCACAGACTGGCTCACTGTGTGTCTGTGTAGCACCGAGCATGATGTGGCCCTGATCTCAGTCACCTCTGGGCAGCACCTGGCATGATGGGGGCCCTGATCTCAGTGGGCTCTGGGCACCAGGCAGCACAATGGGCAGGGCCGGATTTCCGATTAGGCACCGTAGGCACGGGGCTAGGGATGCCGGCATTCTATGGGCATCTAAAAGTTCAAATTTTGCCACTCAAGTCCCAGCAGGGGGCAGGGACAGTTGAGAGGGCGACAACCCCACACAGCCCTGCTGCTGGAGAGCTCCTCGCTGCGCCCAGCAGACAGCATCACCTCCCGGAAGGCCAGTGAGTGCGGGCCGGGGGCAGGGCTTGGGAGTGGGTCTCTGGGTAGTTCATGGGGCAGCTCTGGGCAGAAGGGGTGTGGGGGCACTGGGCAGTGGGCAGAGGGGTGCTGGGTGGCACCTAAAAGTTAAAAGTGGTGGGTGTCTCCTGGCGCCCGTGGCGGTTAAGAGCTTCCAGGCAGCAGGGGTACCCTGCAGCTTCTGGCCGTCTCCAGGTGGCAGGACCCCCAGAGCTCCAAGCCGGGGAGGGGGGAGACCCCTGAGCCCCTGTGTCTAGGGCCAACCTAAGTATAAATGTGGCTCTGATAATGGGGGTTCCTGGTCTTTGTTGCTAATACACACAATAAAAGACCCAGTTGCCCTGGCCAAAAGTCCACTTCCCAACTGGAACCATTTAAAAATATTAACAGGGATCACAGCTGGGGCTGATTTCCCAGAGCACCAGGTTTCTGCATCTTTAATTCCACCATCAGCAAGGCACTGACTGGCCATTGGCCCAGGATTGGCAGGACTGGGGTGACTGGGGGTGTGTGCAGCTGAGTGGCGGTTACCATCTGCCCATGGTGCCTTACCCTGTCTCTGCCTTCCAGGGCTCTGCATCGCCCTGTGCCTGTGGGGCACCATGGCCCAGAATAACGGCACACAAGGTAAGACTGACTCCTCCTGGCTAACCTTCCCCAGCGCTCCCGGCTGCCCGGGGTCTCCAGCCTCCGCCCCCTCTGGTCCCTTTCCCTTGTGGGAGGAGAGCAGAATCAGGGGTCTGGCAATCCGGGAGCAGCCCCTGGGCGTGGGCATCTTGGGGTGGGTTTATAGAGCAGGGTGGGTGCATGCAGGGGAGAGGAAAAGGCCCGTGTAGCCCTCCCCTTCACTTCCCAGCCCCATGGCCAGCAGAGAATAGACACTGGGGCCAGGGCTCTACACTGGGGGCTGGAGGGAGGGGCAGATCCCCTTTGTAGCCAAGGGCCCTATTATTGACCAGCCCGAATCAAACCCCTGATGGCTCAGATGTTAGAAGTGGCATTTGTAGGTGCCCCCCTCTAAAATCGGACTGAACTGAAACCTGGGACTCACGGGCCCAGCTTGGGATCCGGACTCTGCGCCCCGAGCCCAGCTCCGCTGCGAATCCCAAGATGGGATTCGGGCAAATTTCCATTGACCCACTGGGGTCCCCCAGTGCTGCACCCACCCTGCTCCGTCTGCTCCCGTCCCAAGCCCTGCAGCCGGCTAAGCTGCGCTGGGATCCTTCCCCTCACGCTGGCCAGAGGGACGGATCCCAGCGGAGCCCCAAACACAGGGCAGCTAAAGGATCCAGGAGCCCCCGTAGGCAGGTCACAATCTGGGTCATGGGAGGCATCTCAGGATCCAAACTAGCCTCGCGCCCGATTCCGCTCTCAGTCAATCCAGAGCAGAGCCGGGCAGGAATTTCCCAAGGAACCGTTTTTTGCCAGAAAATGCTGATTCGGTTCAGAGGAATGTTTGGTTTAACATGGGAAAAAATTGCGCGGGGCTGGGGAGCGGGGGGGAATAATTTTCAAAATGAACAATTCCCGTTTTCTGGTTTGGAGCAAGGTTTCGGTTTGAAATTGACGCTAATGAGAGTAATGACGACAGCAACAAAAAGGAGAAAAATTGGGTGAGATCGAAAACGTTTCACTTGAAGTGACGCCCGGCTCCGGCAGCTCTGCCTGTCTGTGCCGGGGGCACCCCGGGGAGCCAAGGCCCCTGTGCAGCCGAGGGCAGCTTGTTGCCAGGCGGTGGATGGCATCGGAGCTGTTTGCCAGGCGCCCAGGGACGAAAATCAGCGAATGGGGCGTGTGAAAGGAGTCGACCCCACTGTGTGTGTGGGGCTGCGGGGGGGGAGGGGGGCGCTCTGCACTGGCTGACCCTGCCCAGCTGTTCCCACCCCTGCAGGTACCACTGAGGACTGCGACAACCAAATGCTATGCCCAGCAAACACCAAGTGTGTGAACAACACCCACTGCACCTGCCTGGATGGATACTGGCCAAGAGAAAATCACCCCATCCTCTTCACCGATACAACGGAGATCTGTGACGGTAACGGGGTTCCCACGTTGCCCTGGGGGAGCTGGGACAGAGCAGGGCATTAAGGGCCGGAGCAGCCAACTCCACTGACTCCAGGGCCTGTCAGGGGTGCTCAGCCCGGCTGGGGAATTGGGGGGGGGCGGCAGTACAGGTGAGGGCCGTCCTCCTGGGGATCGAACCGGGGGCCTCCAGAGTGAGTGACAGGAGCAGCTGTAGCAGGAGCAGGGGTGTCTCTTTGTATTTTGCCGCCCCAAGTCTCCTGCCTGGAGCCGCCCCTGGCCAGGAGTCTTGGGCTCTGTGAATGGGGCACAGGGTGGGGGGGCCCATCACACTGACCCATCTGAATCCCAGCCTGGGCCCTAATCAGCCCCTGGGTGTCCAGGGGCAGAGGGGCCCCACGGGAGCAGAATGGGGCAGCCCTGGCTATACTCCCCACTCCCCCGGCCCTCCCCCGCCATGCAGGGATCCAAGGAGGGAGGGGGCAGAGGAGAGGCAACTTGTCACCCCCCCCCAACACACAGGGAGCCTGGAGCCCCTGGGGGAGTCTTCCCCCCCCCCATGGGGGATCTGGGTGTTTGTGGGGCCGAACCCCCCGTACCTGGGACAGAAGGCTCGGGAGGGCTGTTTCCGACATTCCAGCAGCAGAAATGGGTAACTGAGAATCAGGGCCTTAATCACTAACTGCTCAGGGCCCCGGTTGCATGGGTCCCGTCACCCAGCTCAGTGCGGGGGGGATGGGGGGGTGATACAGGGAACGTCTCCCTGCCAGGACTGTTCAGAGCGTCCCCTCTTACATTACAGATATTAACAAGTGTCTGGGGCCGAGCCCGCCAGACTGCGGACACAACACAAACTGCATCAACATGGTTGGGAGTTACTACTGCACCTGCATCGATGGCTACGAGCCCAGTTCTGGGAAAGCCTACTTCATGAACGTGAGTGAGAACCCCTGCCAGGGTGAGCTCTCCCCTGCCCCCATCTGCTGAAACCCCCCCTCGCATAGGGCAGCCGAGAGCGGGTTTGGGTTCCGGTGAAAAAAATTTTTTCGGGCCCTCCAGCAAGGGCGGACCGGCTAAACAGGGCCGACGAGAGGGGGGGAAGCTGGGCACCGGGCCCCGGTAATTTGTACCGGCTTCCCCCGCCTCGTTGGCCCTGGGCCCTTGCACACATAAATGCTCGTTCCAGAACTGGGGCTGTACTGGGGCTGCTGCCGGCTTTGGCAGTGGCCCGAGGCCGTCAGTGAAGCTGTTATGAGACGTGACCCTCGCCTGCTACAGCAGAGCATGGGGCCAGGCTCACCCCTGTGCCCGGCGCTTGGACAAGGAATAAACCCTCGGGGTTAGAAACAGACCCACGGAGCAAACTCCTTGTGCTGCAGAGATGCGCTGGGGAGAGGGGAGGGGACCCTCGCTGGTCCCAGCATGCAGCATCTGGGCTGCTAGTGTCCCCTGAGCCTGGGAAGTGGCCCCACGAACAGTTCTAGGAATTGGGCAAAAGCGTTTTTGACTTGCCCCTCTTCCCCCCCCCC